GGTACACTCGATGTATCGGCTATTTGACGTATTGTTTTACACGTTGAATCGATCTCATCTTGACCAGTTAAAAATAATAATATACCTTCGGATGGTGGTGTAGAACGATGAATCTAAACACATAATAAATAAACAGACAATTAAGAATTTTCAATACACAATATCGCGAGAAACTTCAATGCTTTTCTATTTCTCCATTAATCGACATTTGATGTTTCTTGCAGTCGATAACAGGGATACCAGATCCAAAGCAAGAAAATCAGAAAATCAATAGACTTTTGAATAAAAAAGAACAGAAAAAGTTCCAAAAATCACAATTTTTCCGAAAAAATCAGTGAATCTAGGATCTCTGGTAAAAAAATCAAATAGGTTTTCTGTTTCTCATCGAAACGTCGGAGAGGCGAGCGAACAGAGGCCAATTTTAAAATCAAAGTCTAAAATAGGGAAGTTTAGTTTAATAAAATGTTAGAATTACAAGAAAATCTCCAACAGACACAAAGTTATTTTGAATAACTACAATTATAGTTCGAGCGAGCGAATGAGTTCAAAGAAGTTCAAAATTGAGAGAGAATGAGTGTGTACGATTGTATAAAGAATTGTGCAAACCTCTTTTAAATGTCTGTTTGAAAGAGAATTTTATTAAAAAATGGATAGCATAATCGTCTTGTGCTTCGTTAGTAATCAATAGTTTTTTTTCTTAAATAAAACAAATTTCAATCTGCATAGAGTAGAATGTTTATGTAAGAAAACGGTTGTAGTAAAATCTCACTATTGCGAACACCATCGGAACTTTTCAAAAGCTTTCACTATAGAGAGATGATGCATGTTTTTGCTGTGAACTGAAGAAAAAGCTTTAGACTGTCTGCTTCTACGCTAATCCTCACATAAGTTAGGAGCTTCTATTGTTCATCTCTTTACCATCCTTATTATCATTAATTCATTCAAAATTTTACTTTTTAAGTTAGCTCGTGTTGTGATGTCATTCTTTTTCTTTTCATACGTACAATAGTCAGTTATAGTAAATAAGAGACAGATGATAGACAGTAGAGAAAGAGAAACATTGCACGTCTGTCCACATTAGAGGGGTTATAATTAGGGGGTGTTAATTTAGTGTAATTTTAAAGAATAAAGATAAATTTGTCATTTATATTTAAAAAATAAATATAAATAAATGAAAAAACAATTATTTTTATAAAATAAAGATATATGGACTGTTTATCTTTAAAAAATAAAGGTAAAATAAAGAAATAAAGATTTTATTTTTGCTGTTTTCAAGTGAATGAACAAGCAGGGAAATCTTAGTATGTCATCATTGATGCCCTTGCCCACATCTCACATCATGAGCTGATTATATCACTTCAATTGTTCGAATAAGTGGTTCTAAGTTACGATGAATTACCCAGATCCTAGCCCGAAAAGAGAAGGTTGAATAGAACAAGCACAGGGAGTAACCGTGGTGGCAAAAGGAGAATAATCATTTATTTCATCTTTATTTCTTTATTTTTTGGAATTATCTCTACAATTTAGGTGTTTTCAATTAGAAACATCTTCTAAATAAAGTACTTCGTTTGAATAACAAAAAATTCTGTCGTCTTAGAACATTCCATATCTACTACATATATTCCATAAAATCAAATCTTTATTTCTTTATTTTATTAAAATTAATTTTGTTTTCGTTTATTTCTATCTATTTTTCAAATATAAATGACGAATTTATATTTATTCATATTATCAATGAATAATAAAACTAAATGAATGCCCCTACAAGAGGAACCACCCAAAAACTGTTCATGTTTAGGGATGTTACAAGCCTTGAGACCTTGCATCACAGATCACATCTTTTCATTATTCAAAATCCCCAAGACTTGTCGAGCTTTTTATATCAGACCTAACCCTAACCAGTTTTCTTTGTTGTATCCAAAACTAGTGCTAGGATTCGTTAAAATCAATAAAAAGGTACCGGACTTGGTAAAACTTGGTGAAAATTGATCTTTATCAGTACTTTTTAACAAGCTTTACTATGCCGGTACTTTTTTATTGATTTTGACCGGTCCTAGCACTAGTTTCGCATACAACAGAGAAAACTGGTTACGTCTAACACAAAAGCTCGGTAGAGCTTAGAGGTTTTGAATAATGAAAACATGTGATCTTTGATGTAAGGTCTCAAGACTTGTAACATCCCTATTCATGTTCAGAATAGAGAGGTGTATTTCCCACAAAAATCGCTCCGTTAGACCTAAGAGCATTTATAATAAGGAGATGTTCACTAATAGAGGTTTTACTATACAGAGTGGCTCAAAAGTGGCTTTACCGAGGTAGACACACATTATTCTGTACATTTTTATTTTGATTGTGCTCGTTTTTATACCAAAAAGATTGCCCGTTGACTTCTCTACAAAAAATGTATTGACTGTTTTATTGCAAAATGCCATGAGAAATCGTGAGAAGTACCAAATGCAGAAAAAATAAACATACTTAACAGTTTTTTTCTAGTATTATCTACTAAAAGTTTGTGAGAGAGGAAAGCTGACGTAGACACCGTGTACGCCTCGAAAAAAACTGTATTTTTCATCCATAATTTAAATAATTTCCAATTAGAATTGAGGGCGCAAGAATTTCAATTTTTTTTTACCAGTTTTTCAAAAAACGACGATTTTTTACCAATAATTTGAGCCTTCCAAGAAAATAAATAAAGCTCAGTCACACTTGATCCATTCACGTTGGTTCTTTTAATGATTATAATCGGATCTCTAAGATTTGGAAAAGAAATTTGTGTTGTTTCACCGCGCAAAAGAAAAACATGACAATCTTTGCTATTTTCACTTGATTCCTGAGAAGTTAATCTTTATGTCGGATATTTAGATTCAAATGATTTTCATTCTACACGATGAGAAAGAGCGTAACTGAAACTATGTTTTAATGTTTGTGAAACCATTTCGAAAAAAATTTCGCTCTCTTTAAGAAAATACGTTTATTTTTTCTACACTTTGGTACTTTTCAAAATTTCTTATGGCATTTTGCATCTTCCGATCTTACAATAAAACAGTCAATACATTTTTTGTAGAGAATTCAACGGGGAATCTTTTGGTATAAAAATGCGCTCAATCAAAATGAAAATGTACAGAATAATATGTGTCTACCTCGGTAAAGCCACTTTTGGGCCACCCTGAAGGCTGTATCACAAAAAAACTTAAGTCTTTGAACTTAAATTTTACCGTATTACAAAAAAACTTAAGTCAAAGGGGTGACTTAAATCATGGGAAATGTAGTTTTAAAGTCATTGACTCATTTTTGGAATTGCTCAGGCATTTAACGATACGATTCAACTAAAATGACTTTCTAAAGTTTAGAGAATAAATACTTCGTTATTTTGCGGATTTTTGTCTCAAGTTTGTCACTATTGTCAACGATTTTCAAAAAGTAAACAAAGCATCAACTTAAGTCTTTTCGTAATACGATTTAAGTCCCTGGACTTAAGTTTTTTTCGTGACACGATCTCCTGTAATTTAATCTACATACTTGAAAGAGTGTAATTAATGCTGAATGTTGATAATCTGTTTGTTTTTGTTCTAAATGATAGACATCAATATGAAATTGTCTTCCTTCTAAATACAGTACTGGACATGAATTAAAATAATCTGAAAATAATTTAACATCCATTGTTGCTGACATAACAAGAATATGTAATTTTCGTTTTGATTGTCGCCGTTTTTCCAATGCTTGTTTAACAATTCCAAATAATAAATCTGTATGAAGTGTACGTTCATGAGCTTCATCCAATATAATAATACGATAACGTTTTAAATGTGGATCGATTAATGCTTCACGTAATAACATACCATCTGTCATATATTTTATTTTTGTTGATTTTGATGTTTGATCTTCAAAACGAACACTGTAACCTAAAAGAATAAGAAAAAAAACAAAATTGAGCATACAAAAGACATCACTAAGAATTGTCCAATTGATTTAAATTTCTAAAAATGACTTCCAGACGTCTCATATGTGGCAGAAGAAAGAGTTGTATCCGAATAGGTTAACAACCATCTTTTCACTTTGCTAAATGACGGATGGCACATAATAAATGGTCCAAAATCTTTTCTTCTAAGTGACCTGAAAATCTGATTCTAGTCTCATTCAATAGACAATTGAATGTTCTACAAAATCTACTGATAACATTTTTCTCATTTGAGCACCATTCAAAATATTGCCTGGTGCTAAATTCTCGAACTACAACGTGTTTTTGTCGTATCCTTTTCTGTGATTTTTAGCCCATTGCCTGAGGTTCAATAATTACTTTTTCTAGGTAGACAGATAGAGAGTTTTATGCTCTATCGATGTTACTCATTTACAACTTCATACAATGTTTTCACTACGTCAGCTGGACTCATAACTAGTTCTCAACCAAATTTTTCAAATTTTTCAAATTAAATTCATTTTTTTAGTTAATGATTTCAATTGAAAAACTTTGTTTATATATATAAAGATGCAGAATTTAATGCTGTGTAAGATAACAAGGCTAAAATCCTGGATTCAGAACGTTTTATTGATCTTATAGGCAAAAAACTAAAGTCTGTGAAAAATAGAATCAAAATTTAGATTTTTTAGATTTATCAGTTTTTTGCAAAGAGAAATTTTCCTAGAAGACTTAACTGCAAAATTTGGAAAAATATGTGAGAAGATACAGAATTTTCCGGTAAATCTTCTGATGTTTTCAAAACTCTTATAGAATCTGTTTTTGGACCAAAGGCAAATATTTTTCTATTTTCAGTAGGTTGAAGTTCGAGAACTTATCACCGGTCAATATTTTGAATGATGCTCAAACGAGAAAACTCCTATCAGAGATTCAAATGGCAAATTTTGTAGAAAATTCGATTCTCTATCGAATGAGACTAGAACAAGATTTTTAGATGACTTATTTTTTGGACCGTTTATTATGTGCCACCCGTTTCTTGCTAACGTACTGTAATTAATATGAAGACAAAGAATGCTTAGATATACCGACTAACTGTCCACATTGTTGTCCACATTCTTCTGCTACTCGTTGTGCAATAGAAATGGCAGCCACTCGTCTAGGTTGTGTACAACATATCTGTCCTTTGAATAGTTTTTGTGTACTGTATGCTTCATATAAAAATCGTGGAATTTGAGTTGTTTTACCACATCCTGTTTCACCTAGAGTTAATTAAATAAGACGAAAATATTTGGATTAATTATTACTTTAAAATTATTTTACTTATCCTACCTAAAAAGATGACACACTCATTTTTTCGCACCATTTGAATAATTTTTTTTCTCATTGAATATATCGGAAGTTGTTTACAAGATTCTTGGACATTTTCATATACAGTTGAATGAGAGATATTACTTTCATCTTTCATAACAACATCAGAACTGTCAACATCAATGGGAGCGTTCACCATCTAAAATAAATAAACAAGACATTTTTACTTAAATGAATAATTATCATTTTACAACTACAAATAGAACATAGTGACTTTTCTTCACTTATAATATGCGTTTATCTGACTTTCGTCTTAAGATTTTTCTAAAAAAAGAGGAATTAACAAAATCTTGAAAGTAGGGCTGGGACAGTTCCAGTTCTTATTGTTTCTAGTAACTGATTAAAAGAACTGGCGATCAGTTACCGTTTCTAGTAACTGGAACTGGTCACCAGTTACTGTTCCTTCAACATAATTTAATATAATTTTACATCTCTAAGTGAATGTTTGTTGCTCTATATCTTTTAACAGTAAAAGACCCTTCCCATAGTATAGGAACATTCACATTAAAGGCTGTAGAATAAAGATTTTCTATACGTGTATTGTTTCTATAGAAAATATGATAGTATTATCCATGGGAACTGAACTAGATGAGTTTATTATAGTATAAAAAACAAGATAGATGAATATTAACTTTTCTACATCTTAATTATGAAGACACCGGTAACTAGTGAATAGTTACAGTTACTAGGAACGCCTACTTTTGTTTTATTTTATTTTGACAATTAATTCAAGAGATGTTACATTAAAATTTTCAACAAAAAACGTTAACANATTTGCAGGTGTTGGCGCAAACGAGTTTTGAAGTCTTTAATAGTGGGAGAGCTCACGGGTAGGGTTGTATTCCACTCCCGAGCAGTTCGGTAAAAGAAGCGGCTGAGGATGGTCTGAGTTCGAGCAAAAGGAACCTCGACTTGAACTTGATGTATAGTGTTACGATTCGATTGTCTGTTTGGGTTATGTCTGATAATACCTAATCTAGAGAGAGGGGAGAATCCTCTAAAAATTTTGAAAAAGAGAACGAGCCGGAAATATTTACGTCTCACCGAAAGCAGAGAAAGGTTTAATTTGTTCACTAGGTCAGATACTTGAAAGAAAGATGCAGATCCTAAAAACACTAATTTAACATAATAGATAAGCGTAAGCATGCATCAGTTACAGTTAACTGTAAAACTGTAGGCAAATATTCTAGAGTGATTAATCTTGTACGATTTGCATATATTTTAAGAATATCACTATTCTTAAAATGTATGCAAATCGTACAAGACTAACTCATTCTAGAATATTTGCCTACCGTTATCAGCAATTTTACAAGTACAGTTAACTGGTGCATACCTAGATAAGCGCAAGAGAAGTTGATCACATCTTAACACAATTCTAGTATTTTATGAAAAATTTTATTTTACAAAATTAAGAAGTTATACAAATCATTCTGATAGATCTTTTACCAGTTTCTTATATGAGATTCTTATCAATATTCTACGAATGTCCATCAACTACCTTATTAAGAAATTCATATGATTCTTGGAGATATTCTATAAGATTCCTATAGAAATTCTATATAAGATGTGATCTCTAGGGAAAATAACTGCAGTTTTTCCAAGTACTATTCAATGATATATTTAAAGTTATTTTTGTTTATGAGTTTAGGTACCGAGTTGGCGAAAAATAAACAGAGAATTTTACTTTTGATATATCTTTTTTACTGTTAATGTTCGAGACCCAGTTCAATCGCCATTCGAAAGAGCAGATGTTTTTGTAATTAATAACCGAGACTGCTCGACTTTTATAAATAAAAGAATTTTTTGTTGTTTTAAAGCATATATGGTTCACCAAAAACGACATTATAAGTTTTGAAATCCAACTCTGTTTGGTATCGGTCATAGTTGTAGGCTTCAAAATACAATGGATAAACTATCTGATAGCGATGTGACTTCCACTATAAAGACTCAGTGCTTGAACCTAATATAACAGTAAAACAGAATTTTCTTCACCATCCTATTCTTCACCATTCTATTAAGATTTTGATTTTCGAGTTAGATATGGTACAATATACAGCTAAGTGTCCTCTGTATAATGGGAGACTTTGCAACTCTCTATGGTGTTTCCTTTCTGAGTTATGTTATTTTTTAAGATGACTCATCGGAGATCCAACATCATCATGATGAATTTAAATCTACGGTGACCCATCTTAAAAAATAACATAACTCAGAAAGGAAACACCATAGAGAGTTGCGAAGTCTACTCCTAAATAATTCCTTAGGCGAGGAATACTCCTAAACAAATTCACTTTTCTATTCAAGATCACAGAGAAGGAAAATTGTTTTTACCAAGTTTAACGGTCTTGTGTATTGATTATTTTTATATGTAGCAATGTTCAAAAATATCTTTTCCTTCGAATGCTGTTTTAATTGGATCTCTAGCATTAACAATAAAAAAGATATACCAAAAGCAAAACTCTCTGTTTATTTTTCGCTAATTCGGTAGATCAAATAAATTTTTATATAAAATTTGACTACACAATTGTTATCCATTAGTCATAATGATTTTTAGTATTATTTTTACATCGTGTAGCGTAGACTTTACATTTTCGAATGGTATACAAACAAAAATTCTATTCTGTTCGATAAATATCTATAAATAAAGTAAAAAAAGTGATCGTACGAATACCTTATTGAGCGAAAAAAGCAGATCAAACTTAAAAACCTTCTATATTTTGAATTTGAGATCAAAATCTGCTATTAATAAGGAATAAAGCTGAGACTTAATGGTAAAAAAGAAATCTTCCTATCCTTCTCCTTTCAGAAGATAATGACATTACAAATCTTTTGTCCTCCATCGTGTGAATACTTTTCCCACTAACTGTAGATAAGAGACATTCAGAAAAGGAGAAAACACACATACTAAATAGAGAAGTGCTGATGACTCGGCATGCAGTGATAAGAAGTGTCGATCCCAGAAATACTTATAGTGTGTTAAGATTCAGATCACATTATAACGATCACTACAAAGACAGACGATACTATATTTGTGTTTTGTTAAATATTAGAAGCAACGTATAAGGACTAAGCTTTTAAGAAGGCTCTTTTATTAAACGCTGTTCTAAAACCAGCCAACTTTGCCCGTTTTTCTTTATCAAAAAGAAGATAAAAGGAGGAGATTTAGACGGAAAAGGACGATGCAAGGTTTATCAAACGCGTTGGAATTGACTCGGTGTATACTTTATTGTTTTTAAGAATCCAATTTAGTGTTTATGAAACAGTTAGTAGACTGGACGCAACAATAGGTTGTTCTCTTCACAAAGTGTAGAAATTTTGCAAAAAAAAACAAATAGAGATTAACGTTTCTAATGACAATTTCTTGCTAAATGGTCATGTACACTCCGCCTTTTCAATCAAAATGCATGCGTACACTTTGTTTCTTTTTTTCGCAAATTGTACATTGAATTAGACCATTTTATTGACGAAACTTTCGATGTAGTTGTTGACAAATTCTCGTTATTTTTCCGAAAGACAGGTGAGCTGGACAAGCGAGAAAAACGATTCTCTCTTTCTTTGCTCGACTCATTTAATCTTAAAGTTCATACTTATATTCTCTAATTCTGTCTCTCTCACCGTAGGTATCAATATCATGTAATATCTCGAGTCGAAAGGACTTTTTTTAAAAATTTTCAAAGTCTCACTATTTTTGTCTGTTTATATTATGACGAACAAACATGAGCCATCAGTCAACAGCTAAATATCATTTTCTGTAAATTGGGTGAAAATTTTCTAGAAAAAAAACAATGAACATTTGAATTTCAGAGTAAAAACTGTACACTTTGTCATTAGAAATGCTGGTATGGATGTTTAATCAGAAGGAAAAAATCATAGTTCTACTTTAACAAGAAAAACACGTTCTAATTAATATATGTAAAGAAACAACTCTACATCTCACACATTGACTGTGTAGCAAACGGGCACTTGAGCACACCCTCGTAGGTGTGTGTGAGAATGAGAGTGGGCAATCTGTAGATGTACGTAACTAAAATTGATAGTACGTAATTTCACAACATCAGGTTTGTACATATCGAAAGGGTTTTTGTACTATTAGCTTTCCTTTCTCAAGTAAAATATCTGATTTTGAGAAACGTTCACTAAAGAGTCCGAAATACGGTAGTTATAGTATAAATATTTATAACTCTCAACTTTTTCGGGTTAATTTTGAAGCACAAAACCGTTTATAAACCTATTTATAAAGCAAAAAATTATGTTATAAATCGATTTATAATTGTTTCGGACATTGCCCAAACCATTTCGAACTTTTCAGTGCAAACTTTGACTCTTCCTAAATGAAAGTCTTAAATTTTTTCACAGATGAAATAAATAAATAAACAGTTTGATCTACTTGATTGGATTTCTTAAAGCAGATATCCACGTTTTACCATCAGCGAAGAGTCAGCCAATCAAAAATAAATGAAACACCTCTAAGAAATAAATAATAGATTATAAATCCTAGCGTATATATATGATTGAGTGACAGAAAAGTGATCCGTATGAATAAAGCGAACATCAGTAGCGTGCAGAATAAAGTCTGAAAAGCGGACAATAGTCCTGGCCTATAATCTTTCAGAGTAGGTAGATCATCAACACCTGATTATAAATACTATAGTCATTTATTGTTATTTTTCTTTTTTCAAACAAGAGTCGGAGCGCCAAGTCTAAAATGCATAATAGAATAACGTTGTCCTCAATTCAAAATCTTAAATTTTGTCCACATTAGGTCTGAAAGACTGTATCTCAATCAGAGAATTTATTCCTAAAATATTTTCTTAATCAAGCGCTTCCTTCTTTAGTAGGTCGTCTATGCAAAAATGTCTTATACAGGAGAGTAGTACATGAAAACGACATTCAATATGGTTGATTTCTGTGACTTTATTGCGTTATCAACAGGCTCATTTTTTTAGCCAATCGTCACATGCATAGACGACCTACTAAAGAATTTCGGTTCGAAATTCTCTAGTTGTATGTCTAATGGCTATGACTGTCATAAATGAAATCAAAATGTAAAGAAAACTTTTCACTTAGGATCCTGAGACATTTTGAGTGAATTCGTGAAGATCTTGGCATTTCCGTTCCCAAGATCTTGGGTACAAGAAGTTC